AGGGGGGGGGGGGGGTGGTTTGGTCAGCCGGTTCCTTCGCAATGACAGTCTCCCCACGCCGTCTGGCTGGAATGGCGTACCCTCCTCGTCAAATGATGACAATAATATATAGTTCTTTATGTTACGAGGATGGTTTGGGGAGACGTGCTCCCGTCTAGCAGTGTCGTCGCACTTCTCAACCGGCACGCTCGTTGCCGGCCGAGTGCTGGATGAAACTGGAAGATCTTTATTGGCGGGCAGCTTATTCAGTGCTCCCTCTCCGCATTTTATTTTCTCTACGGATGGTCGTGAACCCCCCCGCCTCCGGTGATGTCCTCTGCGGAGTGTGAGAGGGAGCGCGTGCCGGTTTGGTCGCGTTCTGCACGCCTGTCTTGGAGATGGATTTGATAGGCAACTTCACTATTTCTACCGACACCACACATGGTTTATTCACCGTGGCGGTCCTCGGCGAATTCCTCGTTGCGGCGGCCTCGCCGAATCTCCTGGCCTCTCTGGTTGTTGTGGTAGGCGCGGCGCTCTTCGCGACAGTCTTACTGCGGGCTGTGGTGGATGATGTTGTGCTCCTGGTTGATGGGCTCGCAGTGACTGCCGCGTATGAGGGGGATCTGCTAGTCGGTGTTGTTGACGTCTTTCCTTTGGCCCTTGCCTCATTGGCCGCTTGAGATGGCTGTAAACGGATGCGTGAGTCGCTGCAAACCCGATGTCGCGGCCCGGCGCTTATCCGATCCTCCAACCGTCTCCGCCAATCGTGAGGTCGCTTTAGCCGCAACACTAGTTGTTAATTGGCCCACACTATTGCACTCACCGAGGCTACCGCGAGTGCTTTGGCCTGCCGCATCCACCGCGAGAGACACATGGCACTTGGTGAAATGGGCCTTAACATCTTTATACGGATATTTTCCTTTAGGTTGATAATTACATTTAGAGAACATCTATAGCTTATTGTGTCTCCCGGGTGATACTTTTTAAGATATTTGGATAGATACGGCAGGTCGCTCTATTCGCCCTTTACGGGGTGATCCCGATTGATTACGGCTCGATTGGACACCACTAATCACAGCGACCGGTGTTTAGGAGCTTTGTAGTCTCAAGCGCTGTGAGTGGCTCGTGTCCAATTGAGCCGTGTCCAACTGGGTGCCACCCGCCCTTTACTTTTCCTACCCCCTTATTACCGAAACATTTAGCGCACTTAAGGCACCTTACCTTAGGGGGCAGTGGATATTCGATATAGTGCACTTGTGGGTCCGTCATAACGAGTGCACAGCAAGCTTAATTGCTGTTAAATTAAATTAAAGGGGCCTCTGGACGACTTGGCCCCTCGACCAATCACGGAGGACCGCGAGGCCGGCTTGTATCGACCAATCAAATGCTGGCGAAAAATGGAAGTCTATTGAACATTAATAATTGCTATGCGCACTCGTTACAACGAATCCACTGAGCGAATACAGCACAATAATGAAAAATAAAGTCAAAATTAATAATTAATTGCACTTGCGGCCCTAAACTGACAAATAATATCACTTTAACTTTAATGTACGTGGCTGTCGTGTTTTACGAACAAGTACCAATGAAGATGGTTTTTAGAATGCACACAAATACATGGTTTTAATAACGCACTCCCGACCGCGATGGTTTTAAGAACTTAACGAACAACGGACTTAGAGAAATTTTCGCGATCGCAATGACAGCCACGTACATGCACTCCTAACCTCATTTCGCGGCGCGTATAAACTGTCAACGGAAATCATTTCTCGACAAAATCACGAACACTCCCACTCGATTAATAACTAGACATATATGTATCACGACACCAATAGACACACATATATATATTTAATAGTTATATATGCACTCCAATTTACAATACTAATATAACATAAAGGCATGTAACAGAGTAGTTGCAGGAAAATTACCCCCACTCCTTCTATTTTTTCTGACTTTTGCGGCGTAAATCCCAGCGCGGCGTATTTGCCGGAGTTACTCTACATATAATAATTATATATATTTTTATATTATACACTAATATTTTTATATACTTTCTATTTTTATTTTTTTTTCGTTTTACAGAGAAAGCTACAGCGACGGCGGCCCGC